TATACTAAAAAAATGCTGATTATTGCGATAAATTAGTAAGCGTAAAGGAATTGTGGCACACTTTGTTCTTTGCTATCCAGCTCACGTCAAGTAGTCGTACACCAAGTTGAGCGTATAATACTTTTGCAAGATATGCCAATGATGTACGTATTGATATGTGTATTGAAAAGCAGATTTGTGACAATGTAATGGTTTCACACGTTAACAGCTCGTTGCTTATTTATTTGTTCAAGCACAGCATTCGAATATGTGGATTTTGCCATATTTGCAAACCGATTGCTGACCAATGTGTCGTAATCGAGGTGTTTAGTTTGCGAATGTCCGTTCGCGGTTACCGTCAAATTATTTTGAAACGAACATCGAGATACACGAACTCGATACGATATCACCTTGGATGCTTCGAATATTTTCGATCCATCTGCCTTTCCTCTGCTTTCTCTCCTTTCTCCCTTCTCGTATTGTCAAACTTTATTGTCAACAACAACAACAACAACAAGTTTGATCGCAACAAGTGTAAAACGCAAGTACGCTTCAAGTTGTTCGCGATATTCCGTTTTTCATCCAGTGTTGATAAAAACGCTATTGCACGTACACGATGCAATGCCGTAATACGCTGTTATACAATTGCCGACTACAAACTACTTTGCTCGGATTTATTCACGTGTAAAAGTAAAATCTTCGCGTGTATTACGCGGATGTTACGGGGCACGTGCGATAAGGAGACAGAGGGGCAGGTGTGGGTGAGGGGGTGGGAGAGGGGGAGGGGCAACCGATTTAGAAAAGTACGATCGGTGAGAGCTCGAGACGAGAAAGAGGCAGGAAGTTGAAAGGAAAAACTGAGAAAAGAAAACGAGAGATGAAACAAATAATGAAAATAAGGTGGTTGACTGAGGGTCGAGTGTGACTGAACGGTCGAGGAAGGGGAAAGAGACTCGGAGGGGTAAAGAGAAGGGGCAGTGAACGAAGCAGAGTAGAAGGAGAAGAAAGGAAAAGCAAGACTGACGGCGGTACGAGTGACAATTGTGAGGTGTTCGCTTGCAAAAGACTCGAGGAGGCATAAGAGGAGGATCGGTAGATTCGGGCTGAGAGAAAGTTTCCAAGGTATACCTCTAGTGTTTGTTTCTTCGTTCATTCGTTCGTTCCTTCGTTTCTTCGTTGGTTCATTCTGGTCTTTTTCTCTTT